AACATGAAGAACTTTGCCTACTCGTGTCTTGCTTTGCTGTGTAATTAAATTGTCCTTAACGTTCCAGTGAATAGGTTTATGCTACAAACCTATCAACGAGGCTGTCAAAATAAAACAGGAAACAGTGAGAAGTGATGACAGGACGTGGAACACAAGGAGAGGAACACGGGAACAGAAAAGGGAAACAAGACAAGGACACTGAACACAGAGAGAGGGACACAGAGGACCGAGACACAAGGAGGACCTGGATGTAAAAGAAACTAACATGGAATAAACTCAGGATTACAAAATCCTGAGTTTATAAACCATGATTTAAAGAAAAATGACGTAGAAACACAAAAACTCAAAATGCTGGGTCAAAAGGACCGAGAACCATGACACTTCCATGCTGACTGTTGTCAGACTAACTATCGTTGATGTGAACTACAAAGTTGTAAAGTTTAAGTCGATGGTTTCTCAGTGGATGTGGTAACCATTGGTTTGGTTTTTTTAAAGAGCATTCATTATTTAACTGGTTGTTTGTAGCCCTGATGTTGCTGGACACGTCCTTTATGTGGAAGAAAGTGATTCAGACAGAAGCAAGACAAAAATGAGTTTTGGAGACTCTGCTTCATGGATAATAGCAGTAGTCATTAAACGTTTCACAGCCATGCCCCCCAAAAGCTCCACAAATGTTTTGGGGCAAAAAATAAACAAAATCAAATAAAAATGACACTCAGCAAGAGCGTACGGGGATCTTTCATTTATTTTTTCTACACAAATCGTACAGATAGGGCTGCTCGATTATGGCAAAAATGATAATCACGATTATTTTCACTGAAATTGAGATCTCGATTATTTGACGATATTTATTTAACCCTTTAAGACCTACTATAAAACCAAGTCCACCAGAGCTTATATTATATTTTTACATGTTGTAGTGCCATTTGTGTGAGCATTTCAAGTTGCTATACAACTGTTATAGCCCATATTTTAATAATATGTATGCATTAAGTCCATAGTAACTACATTAATTGCAAAAAAGTGCAATAAACTACAAAAAAAATTGAAAATCGTTTTTGTTTTACATATATTTCTACTTTGAGAAATTCAAGAGGTTTATCCCTCAAAACTTTAAATACAGAAAAGTTGCAAAATATAGTTTACAATAACAGGAAATTTATTTTGAGTGTCTTCATAGTTTTATTTTGGAGATACACCAATTTTTATATACTGCAGGAAAAACAAAAAACAATCCTATGATGCAAATTTGCAAAGAAAACAGCAGGTGCATCAAAATAAACTATTTCCAGCAGTGCAATTTGAGTTCCAAGCATCCCAGCAACTATTCAGAAAAGTCAAACATGACTTATAAAAAACACCAGTAGAGGTTTTTAAGGCCTACAAGTAAAAAACTACATTTCCGTGAAAATGACGTCACTTCCGGTTTCGGGCAGGAAATGGCGGACATGCGATAGTTCGCACTGACGTCTGTTTCACTGTGGGAAGTGTTACGAACAGCTGATCGGATCAGCAAAGCGTGTTTCTGGAATATTATGTTTTTGTTCCTGCAAGTGCTTTTTATGAAATTTTTGCAAAGCTTGACCGAGGACAAGCTGATGGCATAAGATGTAAGTACAACTCCTCCGGTTTCATATACAAAACAAATTATTGCGCTAGCTTACATGGTTCAGGTTCTACAGGGATTTAAAAATAGTTACACAACACGGAGCGTGCTGCTCTGACCGGCTTTAAAGGTTAACAATGACTTTAAAAAATAATATAAAATAGTGTGCAACACCACTGAAGTTTTTTTTTACCTCTCTTTTCAGCCAACAGCAGTCACTCTCCAAATAACTTCTGCTTAGGTTCCGAGCTTCCCTCGGGTCCTCTTAATCAGCGGTCTCCAACCTTTTTTGCGCCACGGACGGTTTATGCCCCACAATATTTTCACGGACCGGCCTTTAAGTGTCGCGGATAAATAAGGGAGGGGCTAATAATCGGCTCAGTCATTTTTAATGATCGTTGAAAGCCCAGATCGTAATCGTGATTAAAATTCGATTAATTGAGCAGCCCTACGTACAGATATACATATCCTGCATAAATTATTCTCATTCAACTTAGTTTTTCTCATTATTCCCCTTGTCATCAACGCTCATGTCCCACAGCGGCTCCATGTCCCACAGCTTGAGAACCGCTGTGCTGATGCACATCTCAGTGAAACCTGCCCAGCAGAACATGTTTCTACTCTTAAAAAGTCTTTTCTTAAACGTGAAAGAAGATTTTATAAAATAGGACATGTTCTACAAAGTCTCACTGTTTTTTCAGTAATCATAGGACATCAACCAACCAACCATGAATGAATAAAGGACAATAATTTTAATGAAAATAAAATTAGACTAAATTGACTAAAGACTAAGACTAAATTGTTTCTTTCTCCTTCTATGAAGCACATTGGCTCACTGTGGCATTCTGAGTTGAACCTTTATGTCATAAGGTTTGGGAGTCAAGGTGATGCCGTAGACTGGAGTGAAGTCTGGTTCTCCTGCATCCTCGGGCCAGATGAATTTAAACTTGTGCAGAAGAGTCACCATGATGAGGAAGAGCTCCATGCGAGCCAGACCCTCTCCGAGACACATCCGAGGACCTGAGGCATTACAAGACACTTCAAAGTTATCAAAAACGAACAGATTTACCCAACATCCCTGGTACTGTGGGAACAGGGGCATGTCCATATGTGGATTCACAGTTTTCTTAGGTTTTTGGTCTACTAACTACGGCATATTTTACATGCTATAAAAGACAAAAAGGAAAAAAAGCCTTCGTGTTTGACACAGTGACATCTGCTCTGATGCTTCTACCTATTAACTTTATTATGATACCAAGATATTTTACACCGAGTTTGTAATCATAGAAAAATAATCAATTAATTTTGGGCTTGCATATTTCAAGCAGGGTTTACAGGTTAATCGGCCCTGTCTGTGTCAGCCAGTGTGTTTGTGCTCACGTACCTGCAGAGAAAGGCATGAAGGCCTCTGGTTTAACAAACTCTCCTTTGTCATCGAGGAAGTTTTCAGGGTTGAATTCATGAGGGAATTTCCACTGTCCCTCCTCGCTGAGCACTGAGGTCAGATTCTCGATGATCACTGTATCCTGAGAAGAAAACAAATGCGAAGACAAGTCCATTATGGACACTCTTGACTTTATTGTATCTAATGTTAAAAATGATTTAATCAGTCGTCCCTTACCTTGGGAATTGAATATCCCATGAGCTCTGTGTCTCTGTTGGTGCAGTGGAAGACACTGAGAGGGACAGTGTTGGCAACTCTCTGTATTTCATGAATCACAGCCTGGATGAAGAGATTATCTGTGCTTTATCTTTGTCTGAGCAGAGACCTTTTCTATTCAGAGGGCTCTCTTCACTGTTACTTAATATGGAACTGATCTGAACACAGTAAGAAATCCTGATAAAAAGCCATATCAGTCTAATTTTCCTCATTAAAACAAATAGTTACCTGTTGTTATTAATTAACCTGCAATCACATGAAAACTACTTTGTCTGCACACACCAGTGTTCTGCAAGAACAACACCCAGTGGAGTTTGTCCAAGTACTCCATGTGTTTTTTATCACACAGCAGCATTACTAGACTTTATGTGTTACGTTAAAACATGTTGTTTGCATAAATAATGTTCCTTCTACTCATTACAAATAACTATTCAAAGCATGGAAAAGGTTATGATGATACTCCTTTACCATGAAATGCTTCTTTTCTGGTCAGTAGATCAAGTCTACATCAAGTCAGACCAATTCCTTCAGTAAAAGCAGAGCTGCCATGGTTGGATGGATTTCCTGAATAATGCTGTTTATGTGCATCTTCTAATTCATTTTGTAGTTTTAAGATTTTGGATCTGTTGCCAAGACAACCAGACCATGAAAGGTTTTGAAGAAGCAAAAGATTCAGGATGACACCAATTTGACAACAATTTAATTCAGCTGAAATGCTGGAATTTGTGCTTACTGTCTCCATCTCATCCTATCTCTGGCATCCTCTTTTTGTCACGCCAACACTCTGCATGTCCTTCTTCAATATATCCATGAACCTTCTCTATGGTCTTCCTCTTTTCCTACCTGCCAGCTCAGTCTTTACTATACTTTGTCCAAATTATTCACAGAGGAGGGATGTACATGTGTACAGCAAACCATCTCAGCATTGCATCTCCAAAATGATCAACGTGAGCTGTCCTTCTGATATACTGACTTGTAATGTTTACCATCATAGTCACTCCAGAGCATACGTCTGCTCTGCAGGCTCTTTCCACATGTTCCCTACTCTCACTATAGATCACAATGTTATCAACAAACATTATAGTTCACAGAGACTCCTGCCTGATCTCATCTGTCATTGTAAACAAAAGGTCCAATATTGAAGTGATTCCAGCCCCAACTTGAACCAATTTTCAAATCCTGCTACATTACTGATCACTGTCTTGCTGTCCTCGTACATGTCCTACACTTTTCTAATATATTTTGTATCCACTCCTGACTTCCTCATCCAGTACCATAGTTTCTCTCTGGGCATCTTATCATATGATTTCCCTCAATCTATGAAGACCCAGTGCAACTCGTCTAAATAGAGGACAACTGTAAGTAGCAAGATCTCTAACATATACTGTTATGCCTTTTGGTCAAAGGTCAGTAGTTAGTGCATAGTCTGATTAAGTTACATAAGCAAAGTGATAAATAAGTTCAAAGTTAAGAAATATTCTAAGTAATTCATGCTAAAAACAGTTAAAATGTCTGGGTTCGAAATTTGCTCAGAGTGAGACATCGTTATCACAAGCGATCTTTGTATTGTATGTGCGGAAATGGGAGTGAGGGAGCGCTCTGATCATTTGCCTATCTTTGATGTATTTTTCCGTTAATGCTGTGAAAAGTGCTTCGGCAGTATTAAAAGAGTGAACGAGTTCATGTACACGCTAAGAGTGCCCTACACGCTTGTACCTTGGGAAACGTTCGTCTTTGTGAGTATTAATGTGTTCAGAAATAACTTTTATATGTGTTTAACTGGAGTGAACTGCGATGCTAATGTAACGCACGTGTTAAGCTAGGCTAATCAGTAAGTTTGTCATTAAGATGTGTATTAGCTAGCAATTTATTTTCACTTTCTGTATATTTCAGTTACAAATAAGAAATAGCAAGGAGAAGCCTTGAGAGAGGATAAGGTTTTAAAGGATCTTCATTAAAAGCAAGAAAAGCAAGCCTTGTGTGGAAGATCTCGTCTATTTTGTTCGCTAGCTGTCTAGCTTCACATGGTCACGTGTCGTGAGGGCAGCATATATACAGTACCTGAATGTAAGGCATCTTGTGTCTGTCCTCAAAAGTGGCTTGATCTTTCCCTTCCAATACTTGATCTATCTCTTGCTGACATTTTTCTGTGTAAGAGAGATAACATCACACATTGACATCCACATTTCACAATACTGCTTCCATCCATCCATCCATACATCCATCTTCTTCCACTTATCCGGGGCCAGGTCGCGGGGGCAGCAGCCCAACTTATTGCCGGCTATGAGGACCAGGCTCTTACAACGGTTGTATAAGGATCGAATGGCCCGTAGCAATGGGTCAGACACCCCACAGGACACCTGAGGGACACGGTCGAATGCCTTCTCCAAGTCCACAAAACACATATAGACCAGTTGGGCAAACTCCCATGTGCCCTCAAGTATCCTCGACAGCTTACACAACATGATAACACTGTATTTTGTAATTAATAATTTGGGGTTCAAAAGAAAGATGAAAATGCATAATGATTAAGCAGGTCTCCTTTTGGCCCCGTCTACATTTTTTATAAGCTGTGTTTCAATTTAGACTGTTATGTGAAGGCTACAGACAAGTCATAGAATTCAATGACAAATAACCATAATATGCATTATTTACATGTGCAGGTTTACCTTGGATGTGCGGGTAGTTCATAAGGTAAAGAAAACCAGTCAGTAGGGTGTTGGAGGTGGTGTCAGTCCCAGCAATATAAAGATCTATAGAGTACATAATGAGCTGGTCCTCTGAAAATGAAGACCTATCATTGCCTCGCTACAAAAAAGGGGAACAATTATTGTAAGACAAATGTCTTAATCTGTTCCTGGAAATTAATTAAAAACTGTAAAATAAAAACAAAAACGTTTCTGTGAAGTATTTAGGCATTTCCTTTTAGAAAGTAGGATTAAATTAATTTGATTTTAAATATGCCTAATACATATGTAAAACAGAATATGAAAAACAGATCTGTTTCTTTTCACACTCACACCTTCTCCAGTTCCTCCAGATAGCAGTCAATAAAATCTCGTGGCTCTCCAGGAACTCTGGTCTTCTTGTGCTCATTGATTAAATCAATTGTAATATTCCTACAAGTCTAAGGAGCAAACGACATTATTCAGAGTTTGAAAGAATTTTACTTCTTCCTTCTGGTAAAGTGAAAATTAAAATTACCTCCACATTCTGAAAGGCCTTTTGGAAGGGCAGTGGCAGGTTACGAATTATAGGGAAAGAGTCATAGAGCTGAAAGGAAAGACAAGCTGGGTAATTTGCTTAAATATCATCAGAGGCGACCAATCCTGGTTTTCCTTTTTTGCTGGTTCTACTTATCAAATGACCACGCTAGCATGCTAAAGCTAGATGTGACAAAAACATCTGCATGTTAGTTTTGTTACAGGTGGAATTGTTGCAGTAAAATCTGCGCCTTAACGAAATTCCTGAGGAAACTTTGTTACCTCAGAAACATGCTTTTACTCACCATAGCCCACGGCCCATTGACCATCTTGGTATTCTCAGTGAAGCACTGAACAATCTGTTTGATTAATGCGTTGTCATACTCGTAGCGTCTAGCAAACAGAACCTGGCAGATGATGTTGGAGGCCGCATTGTGAAACATAACTCGAGGACTCATGGTTTTACCTGGTAATGTAACAGCACAGCATTGTAAAACAACACAAAAGAACATTATGGAAACAACGGCTCACCACAAAATTCAGTTATGTGGACCAACGCTTACCAACGCTCTCCTCCAGCGTGCTAACAAGATGTTTTATCTCTTCATGAATCCGGTCCTCCATCGAGTTCTTCCCCAGACCAAAGTTCCTCAAAGTCATCAGAGCAAAGCGACGATGTTCCCTCCAACTAGAGCCGTAATCTATCATAACGACCCCTACGACAAAATTAGAAACACAAAGAAGGGAAAGACGTAAAGATCATCAATGCTGACAATTTGTCGTCATTGCTCTACTTTCTGGCTTATTTCATCTTTTATTTTTATTTTATTCAGTACAGCTCGATACACCAGCATCTCACTGGAGTTTCACTGCAGTCAGAAAAGACTTAGCATCTCTAGCATGCATGCTAAAATTCAATTATTGATTTAAGCGTGAACAGTAGTGCAATTCCAGGATAACTACGAGGATCTTAAAATAAGCAACAGGTCAACTGATAGAAGCTGCTCTGGGAATGTTAGACTCTGGTTAAACATGCAAACACGTGCAATAAAAACATTTTATTGCCTGAACATGTGAAGCAAGTCATTTTTTAACCAGCTTGTTTCAAAGAACATGAACCAAAGTGGTTTGAAAACTTAGATCATCTTAGAGTCTTCCTATAATTTAGATTCATATTTGCTGTTTAAAAAAAAATGTGTTTGTAGTTTTTTGTACGATGGATGGAAGTTATTAGTAATAATGTAGCATGATGTATTTTTTTATTTTACATCAATTTATTTGCAATGTTTTGTGTCTGTTTTGCCACCATGATTATTTCCAAAGTAATGAGTCTTTTCTCTTACGAACGCACCAAATAACAGCACACTACAACCTCCAACATTAGAATCCAGAAAGAAATAGAAAGACTTTGTTTGGCTTTTTTTGTAACAGATGTTATGTTTTTTGATAGATAACAACTGTTCTACCTTTCCTCTTGGTGATATCATTAATAAAGAAGTCTTGGGGTCGTCCAGCAAAATCAGCAGCCTTAGTCACCATCGCCTCCTTTACGGCCTTCAGCCCATTGATGACTACAGCTGGTTTCTGGCCAATGTAAATACTGTAGACATCTCCGTAAGACTTCCTCAGCTGGGAGGGAACAAAATGACATGGCAGTTTTTGAAATTTATGAACCAGATACTCAGGTGGACATTTCCCTCCAACACGGTTAAACATTTCTGTCCAGTAATTTCAGTTATTCTGTGGAGAGAAAGAAGCATCAAATGAACTAATCCTGAACATTTCATGGAGGGATACAGAGGAAGCCCACATATTTACAGTGGGACATGCTTACATTTGTGGATCTGTGCCACAAGTAACATGACAGTGACTGAAATCATTTACACATATTCAGATCAACATTTCTTTCTAAAGGACTTAAACATATTTACCAAATTAGTTAAGCTAAGTGTTTCGGGGGAAGTACCATATAAAAACTTTATATGGTACTTCGGGGGAAGTACCATATAAAGTTTATATATGTAAAAGGAACTGTACTGGTAACCAGTAAGTTGTTTATTGCATAAAGGTGCATGTTTAGCATGAACTTTCACAATTAGTTAGGGTTTTACTCATATTCTAAAAGATGTTAATGAGTGTGTGACCGATTAGAGACGCAGGTGTTATTATAGTTTCCATTTCCTAATTAGTTTTTATTTATTTAGTTTTTTAGTTTTTCCAGTGTAGTTTAGTTTCATGGTGGCATTTTCACTTTCAGTGTAAGATTTTTGGATTTCAAATGATTTCATTTACCAGTCACAGATGTTAATTTATATTAATTAATAAATCCACTAGTGGGATAAGAACATGACATTTAAACACATTTCATTGCAAGGTTTTTCTTACCCTCTCAAAGTCCTTCAAGGGGTTCTCTAAACTCAGCTGCAAAATGGTTCCCAGTATGGGAAAGACTGGGGGTCCTGGTGGGAAGTTCTTTGGCCTCTTGGATTTGACCTGAAGGACGATAAAGAAAACGCAGATCCATAGCAGCACAACTGAAAGAAACATGGTCATATGAGTTGGACTGCACTGAGAGCAGTAGCTGGCTGACCTGATTATATAAGCGTAACTCAGCCAGCTGTTTACCCTTTGCTCTATGTGAAAGGTTCGTCACAACTTTGAAAGAACAGCACACATTGCTCAACCACTTTTAGCGTGCATATAGGCTACTGTACATCAGTACCTGTCTTCTCTAACAATATGCAACAAGAAGCTGAGGTTATGAAAGAACAAAGATAAGGGGATCTCTCTTTATGATCCTTCACTCCACAGTTAACGAAACATGTCTCAGTCTTAAGGTGGTCATTTATGTGTGAAGCATCTTAAATATACCACAGCCCTTAGTTCACTGTAGAGGCTAGCTGGTTGACATGCTACAATCTAATAGCTCAACTGTTCTGCCTCTGTCTTTTGTCCTATGAACATTGATTCTTTATATTAAACGCGAGTGAAGACGTCACATAAATATGATAGAGCCAAAGGAAGTTTTTGGTTTCTATTCATTCGTTGGTTTCTCCACCTCTCCAATAATTTGCCATATTTCTTTTTCAAGGATTGGCGAACATTGGGAGCCTAAGAGCACTGCACTGTGTGCTGTGATTACGTGTGATGGGTAGACATGATGCAGTATTTCACGAGTAAACAAAGTGAATTAGCAATGTGGTAAATGCCACGAGTGAATGATGAACTAAACATAGGATTAGTCAAGTTTTTAATAATGGGTGCTTTTCATTTGCTGTAATTCTGCATTGTTTTTCGACACCCTAACATGAAAAAAAGCCAAACAAATTCAAGACAAATTCATATGTAATTTCACAGGCTTATAGACCATTTCCAGCTACTTCTAAGTATACCTTATTAGGTTCTAACATGGGAATTGTTGCATATTATTAAAAGATTGTGAAAGCACAGCTCTAGCAGGGACTATTTTTGTTCACAGTAAAAAGCAAAATCTTGGATCAAAATCAATTGTTTTGTTTTAGTCTAGCGTACAAAAACATCTGGTGTGCACAAAGTAATATCTAGTGGACAGATAACGCAAATAAAACACGGCAGTGTAGTGTAATATTTTACTATAAATGTGCCAACAAGTTGAATTTTTCTTGATTATAAATGAGTACGGGGGGAGTCGTATTACCTTGTATGTGTGGATAGTTCATCAGGTAAAGAAAACCAGTAAGAAGCGTGTTAGAGGTGGTGTCAGTCCCAGCGAAGTGAAGATTCAGCGAGTACATAATGAGCTCTTCTTCTGAAAATGAAGACTCTTCATCAACTCTCTAAAAATGCAGAGAGTGATAATTGTACGAAACATTCAAGCAAGACAAAAATGTATCTTATCATACATATAAGAGAATGAGTGTTATACTTGTGTAACAAGATACTGAGTAAATACTGAGAATTTCCATTTATTTATTACTTTCCTTTTCACGCTCACACACCTTCTCCAGTTCATCCAGGTAGCAGTCAATAAAGTCTCGTGGCTCTCCGGGAACTCGAGTCTCTCTGTGCTCGCTCACCATGCGACGTGAAAGATTCTTATAAATCTAAAACATGCAATTCTTCATTACTTTTCGTTTTTCACTGACAGTGTGCATGCATATGTTTCTATCTTTATTGTACAAACGTGTGTTAAGAATGATCTTCAACATTACCTCCATTTTCTTAAAGGCCTTTTGGAAGGGCAGTGGCAGGTTACGTATTATAGGAAAAGAGTCATACAGCTGCAGAAAAACAACCAAACAACATAATTGGTGGAAGAAGACGTATTGCTGAAGATAACTTTTAAGATTTTTATTTGACTGGCAAAACTATGTTGCATGGACAGTCAACAAGTCGATACAAAGTCCATTCTGACTTCTAAACAATAAGAACATAGCAGTGATTCCACAGTGGATTTTGATCTTGAAGACGTTTCACCTTCAGCTCTAGACTGAGCTGAAGACTGTAGCCATGTTGGCATGCTCCAGGCAGTCTCACAGACCTGTTAGGAAACTGTAAACACTTTGCCTCGATAGCATTGCTGTCAGTTTTACTCACCGTGGCCCACGGTCCATTGACTATCTTTGAAACCTCGGTAAAGACTTCAACAAACAGTTTGATTAACTCATCATCGTACTTGTAGCGTCTAGCAAACAGAACCTGGCAGATGATGTTGGAGGCTGCATTATGAAACATAACCTTAGGGCTCATTGTTTTACCTGTAGGAGACATAATGAAACAAGACAGCACTGTACGAGAGTACAAATCAATATTCTGAAACCAACAGCACCGTGCAAAACTGTTGCGTGAACCCATCGATGAACATACCAATGTTCTTTTCCAGGGTACCGATGATGTGTTTGATCTCGTCATGAATTCTCTCCTCCATTGAATTCTTTCCCAGACCAAAGTTCCTCAAAGTCATCAAAGCAAAGCGACGCTGTTCCCTCCACTTAGAGCCATAATCTGCCATAATGACTCCTACAACAGGTTGAGCAACATAAAGAAGAAAGAACTCAAAAATGTTCCCTGTTCCAAAGCTCTCCAACCTCTTGGCCTAAAACGTAAGTGAACAATTGATCCTCACAGTGTAGTTTAAAGTCAGTAAAACATCAGCAACATCAACTTTCCCAGGTAGGAAACATAAACCAATGTGAGTCTGTTTAGCTTGTTTTGATGCACGCGAAAGTCACAACAGGGGCACTGGAGAAGCAGCAACAAAACACCCACCAAAACGTACATTTGACTCTGAGTCGCACTTAGAATTTCTGATAAAGAAGATTTTACTATTATTCCATTATACCTCATATAACATATGATGTAAATTCTACCTTTCCCATCACTGAGCTCATTAACGAACAAGCCTTGAGGTCGTCCAGCAAAATCAGCAGCCTTGGTCACCATAGCCTCCTTCATGGCCTTTACACCATTGATGACTACAGCTGGTTTACAACCGATGAAAATACTGTAGACATCTCCATAAGACTTCCTCAGCTGGGAGGAAACAAAATGACATGTTTGAAATCCATGCGTCACACCCTCAGATGAATATTACATTTTGAAGGGGCTTTAAACATATTTACCGACCAGAGGAATTAACATTTTATATGGTCTAAAGCAGCTATGAAAAAAA